GGGAAGAAACTGTGCTGAGCTGCCGGAGTTTAGCAGTGAACCAGGGTTTGTCGTTGTTATAGATGACCCTGGTCCTTGTTGGAATGATGCTATCCTCACAGAAGTGAATGTATGACGTCACAGTGTCCGTATATTCATCCAAACTATCTGTGGCAGCTCTGAAAAGGTCCCAGTCTGTAGATTCCATGCATGCGCGCAGCTCTTCCACAGCTTCATCAGACCACACTTTGGAGCTCCTCACTGCAGGTTTCGAGAGCTTTAGTCTCTGTCTGTAAGCAGGAACCAGATGTATCATGGAGTGATCTGAGAAGCCGAGGGCTGGCTTGGGAACAGCGCGAAAAGCTCCGCGCACGGTGGTGTAACAGTGATCCAGAGTGTTCTCCTCTCTGGTCGGGCATTTGATAAACTGTCTGTATTTGGGTAATTCCTGGCTCAAGTTTCCCTTATTAAAATCCCCCAGGATAATAATCAGAGAGTCCGGGTATAAGCGTTCCATACACAGTACTTGCTCTGCGAGTGCGCGCTGAGTCTCGCGCGCGTCCGCGCATGGCGGTATGTAAACAGAGGCAAGAATGAATGAAACAATTTCGTGAGGGGAGTAAAATGGTTTACAATGAATGAAAAGATATTCCAGAGCAGGAGAGCAGTGCTTGGAGATCACTGTCACATCGTTACACCAGTTTGTATTGACGTAGAAACACAGCCCTCCGCCTCTGCTCTTCCCTGAGAGCGCACAATGGCGATCCGCGCGAAACAGCCCAAAGCCCTGCAGCTCCAGAGCGCAGTCCGGGATCCGCTCATTTAGCCAGGTCTCAGTGAAGCAGAGGACACAGGATGTGGCGAAGTCCTTGTTTCTTCTCATGAGCAGGCTGAGTTCGTCCATCTTATTGCCCAGTGAGCGTACGTTGGAGAGAAAAATTGATTTATTTCCTGAGTTTCCTCAGTAAAAAAGAAATAATGGGCGACAACTGGGAGCATTCTCCAGTGAATTCTATTATCCGGACGAGTTTGACGAGCCAGAGGAAGAAATTACAGAACAGACAAGATGAGATTGACAACTTCGTTACAGATCAGAAAGGTAAAATCATGATTAGGAAAACCAAGTCGGAGAGCGATATTTGCATAAATTAAAAATAGTCATATAATAAAACATTTATTAACCTCGCTTGCTCGGTCTGAAATATCAGACCACGCCCTTAATGTACAGACCGAGCCGTGGCGAGGTCTGTATGATATTTCTCCATACAGACCTCGCGCTCGGTTATTAAGCCGTTAATATTTAGTTTTCTAAATCTCTTTTGTTGTAGGGGGGTTTCCATGGCGACGACGGGAACAGGGTGTGGCCATCTGCACTTCCTGTCGGGTGAGTGTAGGGGGCAGCAGAGAGTCATACAGAAGACAGAGGTGATGTCTTGGTGACATCATGCTGTGTTTCAGGCCTGCTGTTCCTCCTCTGGCCTGAAGGGGGCCTCAGTCTGGAGCTGCTACCCTCCACCTCCAGAGTCATCCTGCCCCAGGGCTCCAACTACAGCACAGTGAGTCCCGGTCCATTTCTGGTGCAGTTCTGGCCCAGTCAGAGCTGGTGTTGAACATGTCTTCTTTAAGTACCTAGAACTGACCATAACATGCCGCCCCTTCTATCCCCCCCTTGAGTTCACATGTGTAATATTGAGTTCTGTTTATATTCTACCTGATACAGATAGAGCCCAAGCCCCGGTGATCCAAGATGGCGGCCTGTACAACTCAGTGGCTTGTGCTCTGTAGCACAGGGGACCTAGCCTGACTCTCGCCAGATCCTTGTAGTTCCGCCATTCTCCACCAGAGGCGTTTCGCTTCACACAAGGGTCTGGTATCGAGCACATAGCAAACTCCTTCAGCAGATCAGAAAATAATCTACCAATCAGGATCGCCGGTGTTACGTCGGGTTTGCACTGCCTTCTCAAGCGTGTCTCACTCGGCAGCGAGAGCAATCCAAAATGGCGGACATGAAGTCTGTGAATTTTTTCAACAGTTCAAATACGAACTAATTAAGACACGGATGTCACTTTTTAATGCAATATGAGGCGAGATGTTGATAGTTCCATGTTGATGGTTCTATGTTGATATATATGTGTTTTAAGAGTCATATTCTTGTCAAGTTTGGTTTAAGCACTGGTTTAAGTGTTCCTGTTTACCACACTATGCAGCAGGGTTGCCAGGTTGGATGGTTTCCCCTTTTTTTCCAAGAGAATTGTAGGTAATAAATAAACAGAAAGACAAAAACAGAATCATGATAGCCCAAGTTGATTACATTAAGTTTTTTTGGGCATTCTTGCGGATTTTGGGGTGGAAAATCTTTCCAGCGATCTAGAAGGGTCTGGCGAGAGTCAGGCTACAGGGGACCACCTTAGGCACCGAAAGATTTGCGGAACTCGACCATATTTGGGCATTTCTCTGGTTCCCCTGTTCCTGCGCAGTGGACGAGCTCCCATGATGCTTTGGGCCAAATTCTAACGAGCACCGGTGTGTGTCTCTTGTGCACGTGCACAAAGGGACATGGCGGCGTGGGTGGGGCAGTTATAAGCTAGTAATACCCTATCCAGTCATTATTATAGATCCATGAACTGCACTCTCTGACATCATGAGGCTATCGCTAGCTACCAGGCTAGAACTGTCAGACGGGATGTTAGACAACACATTACATGTCCCATGTCAAAAATATGAACAACGGCTGAAACAGGAAGCCCCGTTGCGAAGGGCGGTGACACGCTGGTCTGACCAATCAGACGCAGGAGGAGTTGGACATTACAGACTGGGACGTGTTCTTTGACAGAGACTCAGCGGAGAAGACCATCAGGATAGACCCCACCTTACTCGACAGGAGGGAGATTCTAGGTTCTCTGGTCACATCCATCAATGCTGACGGAGAGCTCAGAGATTGTGCAGGACAGCAGACACCCTGACCATAAACTGTTCACGTTGTTGCCCTCTGGGGGCGCTATGGTCTACTCAAAGCCAAAACTTAGAGGCTTAGTGACATGTAGGTGACTAAATGTAGGTGGAACGTTCTGAAGCAGACTCTTATCTCTTCTTCAGGTGTGTTCGGGCTGGAGTGAAGTCAGCTGGGCGTTGCCGGGGGAAGCAGAAGTGGGCGTGTCCGTGGAGGACTATGGCTCCTCCGCCGTCCTCAGCCTCACTAACGCCACCTGGAGGCAGTCGGGGAGATACACATGTTCTGAGGAGGACTCTGAGCTGAGCAGGAGTCTGGACCTGTTTGTGCCCGGTGATGGTAAGAGCCCTGACCCCTGAACTCTAGAACGTGACTCCTGAACCCTGACTTGTGTTCTGAGTGGCTCAGGTCCGTCACAGTGGCTCCTCCCCTCCCCGGTTGCCGTGGTGATGCGGAGCTCTCTCTATGGCCTGGTCCCCTGTGTGGTGTCTGACCCGGATCTGCAGGTGGCGCTGTGGCTGCGCTCGGGTTCAGAACGGGTCCCGGTGAGTCCGGTCCAGTTCAACCCGGCTCTGGGCTTCACAGCACTCCTCAACGACTCCTCCTACATCTGCAGTGCTCGTCGCGGCCAGCAGGAGGTGCTGTCCCAGGTCTACTACGTCTACAGCGTCATCGGTCAGTCCTCAAACTAGACCAGGACAGACCCAGACCCAGACCCAGACCCAGACTCAGATCAGACCTAGACCCAACCCCCAGACCCAGACTCAGACTCAGACTCAGACCAGACCATAGACTGTATATATTAACGGACAGAGTCACGCCTATCTCCGTCGTCTAACTAATGGGCCAAAAAATTTGCTCTACTGGAGCAATCCAAAATGGCCGCAAGTCGTCCCGCCCACAAGAAAATTGTGAAAAAACGCATCTGCGCATGCGTCAGCCGGCGCAACTCCATTCATTTGAACGAGAGACTTGAAAAATTCACAGCAAGTAAACTAGAGTGGACCAAAAAAATCTACCCCCCTCAGCATTGACACACATGTGGAACGGAGCTTTGGGCCAAGAGCCAACTTTTGGACCATCCTGTAAAGACGTTTTTGAGAGGTCACCTAATGCTATATGTTAGCATTGGCTAATTCTACTTCCGGGTCCACCCCCATTGGCCCGAGGTGGTATTGCAAGCATGTCAGCGCACGTCATTTTGGCCACTTTTGAGCCGGGACCCTCCCCCACTGGACCAGACCCAGACTCAGATCAGACCTAGACCCAACCCCCAGACCCAGACTCAGACCAGACCCAGACACAGATCCAAATCCCCACTAACAGGAGGCACTCTCCTGGGTCTACTACGTCTGCAGTGTCATGGGTCAGTCATCACACCATGACCAAACCCGCACCTTATCCTTTCTGGTGTTGGTAAATATATTCTCTCAGGTCCAGGGCTGTCGTCTCTTATTCCATTAAACATGTTCTCAGGTCCAGAGCAGCTCCTGGTGGACCTCCAGGCCTCTGCTGTCGTCCTCAGACGTGGAGATCCTCTGATGGTGAACTGCACTGTCTCCGAGTCTGAGTCTGTTTACTTCTCCTGGAGCTTCCCCCGAAAACACTACGACAAAGCAGAGGTGAGCGCCAGTTAGAGACCAGAAAGAGAGAGAGCTCAGCCTAAAGATGAGAGTCCCACTGGTTTTGTCTAAACACAACAGACGGATCTTTCTTTGCTCTGGGCTCTGAAGCTGTGATGTCACATGTGTCCAGCAGGTGGAGCCGCTCACGGAGCTGCTCTCTAACCAGATCCGCTCCATCATCAACATCTCTGAGAGCACAGAGCAAGACTCAGGTGTGTGTGTGTGTGTGTGTGTGTTTGTATGTGTCTGCGTGTGTCTAAGTGTGTGCCTGTGTCGGTGAGTGTGTGCTTGTGTAACCATGGTAACTGCCTCCTCAGGACTCTACGTCTGCTCTGTGGAGGAGTCGCTTCAGAAGCAGAAGTTTGAGAAGGTTCTGAACATCACTGTGCTCTGTGAGTCAAACACACACAAACACACACACACACACACACACTTTAGTTTCCCCTTCGTCTGTCATTGTGGGGAGCATCTCCGTCGACATTGTCTGTTGCCATGGTTACTCAATGGTCCAAACCTTGTTGTTTGCAGCTCGTGGCTTTGTGGATCTCTCTCCGTCTGAGTCCACTCTGGTCCAGACGCTGCTTCACCACACGGTGGCGCTATCTCTGCACATACGGGCGTTCCCTGCCCCCAATGTCACCTGGAGCATCACCACGGCGACTGGCAACAGATCTGTCACCCCAGCGATTGTTAACAGAACCGTCACCACGAGCGCTGCTGCTGCCACAACAACATCAGCATCCACGACCAGGCTCTCGCACGCCAGGTCTGTGACACGACCCAGGGCGAGTGTGACCTCTGCGTACCTCTGTGTGACCTCTGGTGGTGTTCAGGTTTCTCACGGTGCTCCGTTTGGAGGAAGTACAGATGAACCAAACAGGAAGGTACCTGGCCACGGTTTCCAATGACGACGAAATCAAAGAGGTGGAGTTCAGACTGGAGGTCAGAGGTAAATATGAACACAACTGGACCAGACCCATGTGGACCAGACCCATGTGAACCAGACTCATGTGGACCAGACTCATGTGGACCAGAATCATAGAGTCAAGAGTGTGACCTCTGTTGTGGACTGGTCGTTTGACACAGTACCCCCTCGGATCCTCGCACTGTCAGAGGTGGGTGTGGCATCAGTCATGTGTGTGTGTGAAGGAGCTCCGCCCCCAAAACTCACCTGGTTCATCTGCCCCTCCAACCTCAGGTAAGACCAGGACTGAACCCAGACTAGACCATGACTGAACAAGGTCTGAACCAGGTCTTTCTTTCTTCAGATGCAGTGACAGCGGTTGGAGAAACATTTCTGAATCCATCAGCGAAACTTCTACAGAAAAAGACAGAGTCACTGAGGTGAATCCCACTTCAGTCTAAACCGGTCTAACTCGATCCAATCAGGTCTAGCATCGACTAACCCAGTTTAACCTGGTCTAACTCAAACTAACATGGTCTTAACTCTTCTAAACGATCTGAACTATTCTAAGATGGTCAGAACTGGTCTGAACTGGTCTTAGTGGGTCTAAACTGGTGTAAACTGGTGCAAACCTTTCATTTCTCAGGTCCACAGCGTCTTGACCCTGAAGTCCTTGGACTCGGTTTCTTCAGTTCGTTGTGAAGTGAAAAACTCTGTGGGACGACGAGCGTGGGACCTGAGGCTGGTACCCCCCTGTGAGTGAGACCCCTGATAGTGAGACCCCCTTGTGAGTCTCCCTCTGGTCTCTAGCACTGGTTTCTCTCTGGTCTCTTTCTGGTGTCTCTCTCTGGCCCTGCTCTGGTCAATCCTCTAGTCTATCTCTGGTCTCTCTCTGGTCTCTCTCTAGTCTATCTCTGGTCTCTGACCTTTCTCTAGTCTCTCTGGTCTCTCTCTGGTCTCTCTCTGGGCCCACTCTGGTCTCTCTCTGGTCTCTCTCTGGTCTCTCTCTGGGCCCACTCTGGTCTCTCTCTGGTCTCTCTCTTGTCTCTCTCTGGTCTCTCTCTGGGCCCACTCTGGTCTCTGGTATAATCAGCTGGAGATGGGCCTCGAAGGTCCACACGCCCACTACTCCTGACAGACGCCCCAACAGCATTGGGCCAAATGCAGAGGACACATTTAGCTACGACGGAAATTCTACAAAAAAAACAAAAAACTAATACATCTCTTAAAGATTGAAGTTTAAAGGCGAAAAAACGTCCAGAATAACAATTTCTCAGCGTTTTAAGTTTAGTTGTGTTATTTATACACTCAAAGTAAGCAGTTCACGTATGTTTGAGCCCAAACTGCTGATCCTTATCTGTGGTTCAAGCCTTGAAATCACGTGTGAATAAAATCTATGTTGTGAACTAGTAAACAACAAGCAGCGTCCAAGGTTTTTCTCTTATCAGAGTCAGTCATAATACTGAGTTTCACTTTATTCAGAACTCAATCCGCTGTTCCAAGTTTCGTTTATGAAGAAAAGTAAAGTTAGAAATGATAAAACCCGGAAACTGTCAAAACAAGAGTGGACGCGCTGAAACCTTGGTATTTCGTCCTGGACAGAGGAAAAGATTGACATTTTGTTGGTAATATTTGAATTATGTTAGAATGGTAAAATTCAGGTTATGGTTTGGGATTTTAAACAGCTTGATTCATTTGTGGGTAAAGCATAGGCTAGCTAACCACAGGAGGACGAAAAGCCTAGATTCCCCCCCCCCCCCCAAACACTCAGAACTTTACATTAGCTTTTAGACAAGCAAATGTTTATCTGTGACCATTACGTTGATATATTTATAATCATATAGTTATTTTTTTTTAAATAAAATTTACAATATTGCAACAGTTTGTGTATTTAAATGTATTGAGGGTAGCAGAATTGCCATGACTGCTATGAAAAACGAGTTTAAAGCTTGTATTTTTCGCGTTGGTTGTGTCAAGTTTTATTTGATTTAAATACATTATCTGGAAGAAACGGCGGCTTTAAGAATCCTGCTTACGTTTTCATTTGAAGATAGTTTCTGGCGAAAACGAAACTCAACGTGTTTGTTTACACTCAGTTCAAGTTAAGCCCATATCTGAACAGGACTAGAACAGGACTAGACCTGGACGAGACCTGGATCGCATCTGGACCGGCCACCAGCAGCAGGTTCCATGGAATCCATTGAACGCGCCTGGTAAACTCCTAATGGTGCGTTCAGACCAAACGCGATTTCTGCGGCCAAATCGCGTCTATCGCGCGGCTTGAGCCGCTTGTGACAAATTGTGGCAGCCGCTGTCACAGAGAAACTTGGCCGCGCGGCCAGGACACTAGAGGGCAGCCGCTGTCACAGAGCGTTGAGAGCGTTTAGGGGCGGGGCTTGTCTCTTTTGCCTGTAGCTTCCCAACATGGATGTCAGCGAAGGAGTTGCTTTATCTGATAAATAAAGCCAGACACGTCGTCAAAGGGCGAATCGACGACGTGTCTGGATTCATCAGATAGTCCGTAGACGGTTGGAGTTTGGTGAGTTTCACCATTTGCTCGGGAGCTGCGCTCGGATGAGGGTCGCTTTCAGCGGTACTTTCGTCTCTCCCTGGCCCAGTTTGACGACCTACTGACCCGCATTGGCGCTAGGATCTCCTACCAGGACTCCAACTACAGGCGCTCTATTCCAGCTGAAGAGCGCCTGTCCATCTGTCTGCGGTTAGTGTTTTTTACCCCATTCAGAATTCCTAAAAACTTACAAAGTGTGTCATTTTTCAATCACAATCCACAATGTAATTGCTCAGAAAACAGTATTATGCAACAATATGGTGTCTATGATTACTGTCTATGATGTTTACTGTCTACTAGTTTAACGTATTTTATGCTACACAAGTTTTGTCACGTGATTTTTATGAATGTAATTGTGATAAATATCATATCATTTTGTAATTGCAGGTTTCTTGCCACTGGGGACTCCTACAGGACCATTGCGGGGAGCTTCAGAGCGGGCATATCCACCGTCTCCATGCTCATCCCAGATGTGGTGGCAGCCATCTGGGACTGCCTCGTGGAGGAGTTCATGGCTGTGCCTGGAGCAGAGGAGTGGAGGTCCGATGGAACTTCCCTCTGTGCTGTGGGGCCATTGATGGGAAGCATGTGGCTGTGAAGGCACCCCCCAACTCTGGGTCCATGTTTTTTAATTATAAGGGGCACCATTCCCTTGTGCTCCTGGCTGTAGTGGATGCCCAGTACAGGTTCAGGGTGATTGATGTGGGAGGGTACGGCAGATCCAGCGATGGAGGCATCGTGTCCAACTCTGCCTTTGGTGAGGCTCTGCGCGAGGGCACACTCGACCTGCCTCCTGACCAGTGCATACCTGGAGCTGACCACAGAGGACCCCAGCCCCATGTGTTCGTGGCAGATGAGGCCTTTTCACTGCGCTGCAATTTAATGCGCCCTGCCCATCTCCAGGATGAGGATGAGGATGGCTGGAGATGGGCAGGTTCCTGCACCGAGGGGAGCTGCTGCCGGTGAAGAACCACTTCCAGGCGTGCAGCGGATGGCCGCCTGGAAGCCAGCAGTGGACATAAGGAAAGTGTTCATGGCCCACTTCAGTGAGGAGGGAGCACTGCCGTGGCAGCCCACAGAGTAGTCATGTCCACCACAAGACTGACCCACATCTGGCCATAGTCCAAACCCATATTGATTTGCACTATTCTATTCACCTGTATACCTTCTGTTTCTAGGTAATGACTGCCAGACTCCACTGCGACTCCACTCCAACTTCAGGTTAATCATATGCACATTCAAGCTTTTCCATAATTACAAGGTTGTTAAAACAGTAAAAGGTGAAATGAATAAAAAATACTGTCAACTACTGTATCGCTCTTTAAGTGTTTGTTATTCCATCTTCTATAAAACCCAGTCAGCTCTTATAAAAGTAAATGTACAAATATAGAATAGCATTTTCTGTCAATATTATATGAAAGGTAGTAATGGTTGGCTTGAAGTAGAACACATGAGGTTTGAAAAATATTTTCTTTATAAAAAAAGGAACAAACAATGAAAAATAAATGAAATGTACATATAAACAAATGAAAAGGAGCTTGCTTGGAGGAGGTGCGGTGGAAGAGGAAAGGGACACATGTCTGTTTCCTCCCCTGCAAAAGGTGTCACCTTAGGTAAAAAAAACTGTACTGGCCAATGGTTCCAAATTAAGCAGAACGGTGCTGCTTTCATATAAAAGTTGGTACATTTTGAATTTCACAAATTCTTTTGACTCTGGTGCCACCCTTTGCAGGAGAGGAAAGAGAGAGAGCAGGAACTGATGTTCTTCTGAGTAGTCGGGCGGTCCGGCTGCTTTGGTCCGTAGAGTCTCCAGCAGCTCCCGCTCCCACTCTGAAGGCCCACCAAGGAAGAGGGCTCGGAAGAGGCCCACGTCCGTAGAGCCGCCAACAAAGAACACAGGGCAATCACAGTGTTAAAAAGTGGAACATGTATTTCAAAAAAGCAAAATGAAGAGAGCAAATAATATCTGTATTAAAGCCAGAGTGTGTAGACATAGTTAAACACATGTAAAACACTTTTAAGTTGTGTGTTTGTTACAATTAACTTGAACATTGCAGTTATCAATGAAATTACTCACACATGCACAAATTTCGACAGTTACAAACTAATATCTCTGAAGTGTATTTCGCAATGAAATTTGAAATTGGCTGTAAAAAAGTAATACTCTATTGTCTGCATTAAACAGGATAGCTGCCATCTTGTGGCAACCATTGCATGTATTTGTTCAGTACTTTTATAGCATAAGGTATTTCAGTAGTATGTTTTTATCAAAGAAAGAGGGAAGATGTGTTGTATCAGACCAAAGCTTCTTTCCACCTGTAGTGCCTTGACATCTTGTCGTTTCTCTGTAAATTTGTCGTCTACACTGATGTAACAGCCCTTGGGTAATTTTGGCATATTATGCAGTAACATTTTGTTTATATGAACAGTCCTGTAATAAGAATAAAAATAAAACAATGATTAAAAAAAGCCACACCTGTAGGTGCAGAAGCAGGGGAAGGTCCAGCCCTCACAGAAGAAGAACCGGCTGAGGAAGCAGCAGCAGCAGCAGCAGGCAGCTCAGGCCAAGATGTCTCACCTTGTGTGGTGGTGGCAGTATCTGCGCCAGAAGAAAACAAGAAATACAATTATTTCATATCATGTGTACATTGCGCTTATGACATTTATATGTACATAATAATGTACATTATTATGTACATTTAAATGATTTGTTCATATAAAAGGGAAAAGTGAAATTTAACACAACACATGATCAAGATCTATCCTGGTTTGAAAATAGCCAATGCCTATTTTCACCTGGCCATGATGTTAAGAAAGCATTAAAAGAAATGCATACACAGAAAGCAATATAAATGTAAAAGTCAGCAAAATGTGGGTAATAGAAAGGAAAGAAATGTATTTTTTCCAACTGTTCGAGGTCTCCGTTTGCTGCATGACACCGACCTTCAGCACCTCATATGTGTCCCTCAGATTCTTCCACCGCTTTTTGCAAACTTCCACTGAATAAACACATCAACTCGTAAGCAGGAAAGTAGTAGTTTTTTTCGCGGGGAAATATTTACAACATTGAAAAGTTAAAATAACTTACCCGAGACACCAACCACCTCGCTAACCCTCCTCCAAGCAAGCTCCTTTTTATTTCGGTCCCGGTAGCTGTGGTCCGCAGTGTTATATAGCTCAGAATGAGCACCGACCTGAGCAATTGACGTGTCCTCCATAGCTGTCATCTACCAGTGTTTTTCCGGTAGTGAAATGCGTCACTACGTCACTGGAGGAGAAAGCTCCTGATTGGTCGGCACACGCGAATTCTCCCAAAAAGTTTAACATTGTTCAACTCTAGCGGCGGCCGCGTTGGAGGCACGAATCGCGCGAAACGCGCGTCAAAACGCTTGACATCTCAAAACACGCCGCGCGAATCGCGCGAAACGCTCGAATTCGCGCCGCTCTGGCCGCGCGAATCGCGCCGCGTAATCTCTCGCCGCTCCTTGGCGCGCGTCCCCCATGTTGTGTCAATGTAGACCCGCCGCTTTGGCCGCAGAAATCGCGTTTGGTCTGAACGCACCATAATGGATGCAGCCCGGCCGAGTATGCCGCGCTGCGCTGGACTCGCACCTATGCTCCCAGGGTCGCTTCGGCGGTCATGCTTCATCTCTCTACTTCTTCTACCTTCTGATTCTATCAGATGCAGCTGGCCGAGTAGCTGCGCTGAGCCGTCAATCGGACTCCTAATCAAAGGCATCCATACCTGTATTCTTCACTCTTCTGATCGCAGGCTCCCAATCATGCTGCCCATCCTGCAGCGGCACTGAACTCCGGCTCATCTTCCAAGTACATGTCTGCCCTTCTCGCAGCATCTTCCTGCTCTCCTTCTATGGCTTCTCTGCGTAAGCGTTTCACTACTGCTCACTCAACCTTCATGCGGTCCGAGACACGGCTTTTCCCGACCATCCTACTATCCTGATTATCTACTCTCCAACCCAAGATTCTAAGCGTAAGGGCGCCTGCAACTTCAATGGCCCTCTCCGACATGTCTCTGCCCTACAGGTCTCCGCTTCTACACGGACGTGCCCCTTCCGTGGGTTTTGGGGGTTTTTTTCCAGGACCATTGGGTTGCCGGGCCGTGGCCGCTACTTTCCACCGGAGCATCTCCTCTGCCCTACACGAGATATTCCCAGTGGTCGTGGCTGCGCGCTGTGGAATCACACGTGGCAGAGAAAGAGGCCATCTCTGTCATGCGTGATAATCCGACGTAGTGGAAGCTTACACAAAGGTCGCTCTCTTTCACCCAACATAATGTCCCCTGACCATTTCAACCTTAATTTCAAACATTCAAAGACCAAGGCGCCTGCAACATAATAATAGCTCGCTCCGACACATCTCTCTGCCCCTACAGGTCCATGATGCGTTACACTCGCCTCCGCTGAAAAAAGGAGATTTTAACGGACCTCTAATCCTCACTCCAGTCAACCTTCCCATGACAGCAACCTGGTTCAGAGCTCAGCTAAGATCCCTACTGCTCCTCTGCAATTGTCTCCCCAGCTCTACACAGCCCACTCCTTCAGGATAGGCGCTGCCCCACACCTCTCTGCAACAGCTGGGGCGCTGGTCCTCTTCGGCTTTCTCCGCCTACATCAGGTCGGACGCGTCCGCTATCCTGCCTGCACAACGTCTACTGGCTTCCTCGTAAGCTCCCAGCAAAGCAATACGAAGCAAAGTAAGCGAAGCAATAAGATTCTGGTGGCGGCACGCACTTTTCTCAAACACTCTCCGCTGCCGCAGCGCCTGACGGAACGTGATGCGAACGCTCACGTTCCCAGCGCGCAAAGATAACCCTTCCGCAGCGTCTGGTTGATCGTGATGCGAGCGCTCACGTCCCGGCGCCCAAAGATAACCGCATATAGCGGTCACAGCATATAGTGATAGCGGTCATAGCATCAGTGATAGCGGTCATAGCATCAGTGATAGCGGTCATAGCGTCAGTGATAGCGGTCATAGCGTTAGCGTTAGCGGTCACAGCATAGCAAAAAAAAACACCGCCTCCCCTCCTCCTCCTCCTCACCCTGCCTCCAATCTGCCTCCAAATCTGCTTCACGCTGCCAAAATGCCGCCACCAGTGCCTAGGCCCCGGGGGGATTCTACGCGCTCCAGCGCAGGAGCCTCTCCGAACTGAAGGCCGCACCGGGGCCTAGGGCGCCAAACCACCTCTCATTAAAATACTCAAAAGCATTCTTGTTTTCACGTCTCTCCAAATTGAATTCTAGGTTGCTGCTTAGGGAAGAAGGTTCTAAAACTACACATAAGTCTCACAATTAATGATATTCAGCATAATGAGAGCGTAACGAGCCGTGGAGCTGTATGTGGGTGAGTGAAGCTCCCTCTGGTCTCTAGAGTTTCTCCCTAGTCCCTCTGGTCTCCCCCTCTCTCTGATTTCCACCTTCTCTGGTCTCTTCCCCCTCTCTATCTCTGGTCCCTCCCTGCTCTCTCTCTGCTCCTTCTCTCTTATTCCTCTTGCCCTGGTCTCTCTCTGGCCCCCTCTCTCTCTCTAATCTCCCCCCTCTCTGGTCCCTCTCTGGTCCCTCTCTAGTCTCTCTCAGTCTCTCTCTGGTCCCTCTCTAGTCTCTCTCCGTCTCTCTCTAGTCCTGTACTCCCACCATGACTTTAGAAGACTTATTTTGAAAGTGGGAAATTTGGTTTTAACCATTTTATTTTGACACATTGGTGTCTCCGCAGTGAGGAGCAGACACAATAACATGGAGAAAGAAGAAAAAGCGTAAACAAGTATTCCCATCAGACTGACCTCATTGAGCTTTGAGACACAGCAACATCCACAAGTGAAATGACCTGAAAACAGAAATTGTTGCATGTACCTTATCATCCTCTATCACATCTTAAAATCAGCATATAAAAGTGGAAAGGAGAGGACCACCCTCACTCAGCCAATCAGCTCTCAGCCCTAAGAGTCGGATAGTGACTCATAAGGCTCGTTCTTCTTAATATAACATGTTTTCTAATAAGATTATGGCAGCATGTTGTGTTCTGACTCTTTATGGAGGACAAGACAGTGAGCGACACCATTAATTATATAAATAAATGAAATATAAAATGGACTAGATTATGTAATTGCTTAGACTAGATTATGTAATAACTAGATTATGTAATAACTAGATTATGTAATTGCTTATTTAAAAGCATAACAATACATTTGATCTACTTTTAAATATGTGTTCTGCTATTGTGTGACTATTAATGATTTGTATGAAATGTCAGCTATTGTTTAGTTGTTTGTATTTCACTGCTGTGAAGCACTTTGAACTGGATTTGTGCCTGAAAGTCGCGTTACAAATAAAGCTATTCTTATTATTAGCACTTTTCAGGAACGCTTAAGAACTCAGAACTTTAGAAAATATGATTTGATTAATTTGTCTCCAGTCTGGGTCCAACCTCACGTTAGCAACAGTTTTATATAATAATCAGGTACCGCAGCTTTAATCCCCAAATCGAAAGTAAGAGACATTTGAAATTGAAAGAGCGCAGACTTCCGCTCTCAGGACTCTTGTGGTTCTTCTCTCCCCTCGTTCTGTACTCTGTCCGGGGACCATGGACCCCGCGCTCCTCGCCCTCTGCACCGAGGCACTGTCTGCGCTCACCGGGTGCCTTGTGCGTCCCACCACGGGGCCGTCACAGCTGACCCCGCAGGATTTTGTGAATATCGCCAATCTGCGTCAGTTCTATCGGAGAGAAGGTCTGTGTGCGCTGGAGTACCCGAGCCTGGGGAGTCTGTCTCTGAGGCAGGGGGACCAAGAGGAGGACCTGTACAGCGCCCCCCTGGCTCTCGCAGATCAGCCCCACGCGCTCCCAGTCCCGGGCCCCTTTCCGCCCGTGGTCGACATTAACCCGCAGGACTTTTTCGACCCACAGTACAACTACGACTTCACTAACGTCCAGGTAAAAAGAGATTAAAGCTGGGCTGCGTACCTTTCAAACCAGTAAGATAAAATGTGTAATAGCCCAGGGCCTGGTTTGTTCTGTGATGGGAGACCTCTGGAACACCATGGTGCCAGAGTGGGGCGGCTCGGGCTGTAAAGTGCCAAAGTGTGCTCTGATTTCTTCTATTGGACAAACATGGGACATCACAGGCAAATAAGTTAGAGGTCATATCTGCGGAGACGAGAGAGCGTTGAACACAACTGTAATGAAAAATATATGACACTGTTACACCAGGGTCTGTGTACTTTTGCGTTCAATACATTTTCTATTTTTGAAGGGAAATGGAAAATCGAAAAAAGGCTATTTTGCATTTTCAGGCACACAGCAATATACAAAAATGACCATTTTGGGTTTTTTTCATTGCTTATAAGACATATATTATATTAATCCGGATTGTGTAGAAAATGTATTCTAGTTCCCAAATCCGGTTATTATAATATATATGTCTTATAAGCGATGAAAAAACCCCAAAATGGTCATTTTTGTATATTGCTGTGTGCCTGAAAATGTGAAATAGCCTTTTTTCAATTTTCCATTTCCCTTCAAAAGTAGAAAATGTATTGAACGCAAAAGTACACGGACCCACCAGTAATATATGTTTTTAATTCACATGGCAATAAGCGGGTTGCAAGAAGTGGGTTTACCTGTTTCAAAATGTGTTTCAGTCACAGACTGTACAATCTATGGTTTGTGTAGAAGTGGGCTTCAACACAGGACCTTGAACTCATTTTAGATTATCCACAACTGTTCTCTCTCTTTGGTCTCTATCTCTAGTCTCTCTCTGGTCTTTCTCTGGTCTTTCTCTGGTCTCTCGTGTCTCACTCTTGTCTCTCTCTGGTCTCTCTCCAGTAAAACAAGTTTGGAGCCTGGTCCTGGGGAGTGGCAGGGCTAAATAGTGTGTATGCAAAAGTGCTTCTTCTAGTTTCACTTTCGTCCTGCTGCTGGTAAACCGTGTTTTGAACTTTAAAACATTTACGACTCAAATATAATGCTCCCACTCCTTGAATTTTTGACACGGTTTTAGATCCATAGGAGATTTGCCTAGTGCTGTTGGCCTTGTTGTGGAAGAAAATTGGCTGTTTGGGAGATAATCTGGAGCCAAATTGTGGGCAGCAACAAACCGGCAACCAGAGGACCATTAGGAAGCAGCGTGGCTGGGCGCTCCCTTAGAGATAGGGTGAGGAGCTCAGTCACACGGGAGGAGCTCGGAGTAGAGCCGCTGCTTGTCCACATCAAGAGGAACCTGTCATGGTGTGGATTTGGTTTTATTTTGACATAAGTTTGGTTTTAGTTGTACTTCCTGTCTTGTTCCCCTGTGTTGATTGTCTGCCCTGCCTTGATGTGTTTCACCTGTGTCTGTGTCTATATGTACCCAGTGCTCCTTTCCTCTTGTTGCTGGTTCATTGTATTGTCTGTCCTTGTCAGTCTGTGTTCCTGGTTCTTGTTTGGATTATGTTTTCATCTTGGACTTTTATTAGATTTTTATCATTAAACCATTTTTGTTTTTCGCTTTCCTGCATTTTGAGTCCGCCATCACTTCACCCCATGACAGAATGAACCAGCCATCACAAGGACTCAGCGGAATGCCTTTTTTTTTTTCACCACACCAGTTCCCAGTTAATCTTCATCACCAGGTTTTTACTTATTTTTGCCTTCACTTCACTGCCTACCTCGACCCCGTACCTGCAACCACCGCCAGACCAGAAACTCCGTCTGGGGTGGTTATCTGTCCTGCACCACCGCCGGGCATGGTTGTCCGTCCGGGGTGGCCCTCTGTTCCCCTCCCCCTGACCTGCTGAGAGGTACCCAGTGAAGTCCTGGACTTGATGTTCCTGTGTGTCTGCTGCCCTTCGACGACCTCTCCTTCCCCTCACCTGTTGCCACCGCCAGACATTGATGTCCGTCTGGGGTGGTTCTGTTTCGTCTGTGTCACCGCCGGGCAAACGTCTCCGCCCGGGGTGGGCCGGTTTCCCTATGGAAGGTCATCACTGCGCTTCAGCTTCGGTTCCTGATTTGTTTGGACACTACTTCGGACCTGAGGTTCCCTCCGCCAGACCCTCTCCACCCTGCCTGGTTCGTGTTTGGGTTTTGGGACATCTGGGACATCTGGGAGCTGTCCCTTGGAGGGGGGGTACTGTCATGGTGTGGATTTGGTTTTATTTTGACATAAGTTTGGTTTTAGTTGTACTTCCTGTCTTGTTCCCCTGTGTTGATTGTCTGCCCTGCCCTGATGTGTTTCACCTGTGTCTGTGTCTATATGTACCCAGTGCTCCTTTCCTCTTGTTGCTGGTTCATTGTATTGTCTGTCCTTGTCAGTCTGTATTCCTGGTTCTTGTTTGGATTATGTTTTCATCTTGGACTTTTATTAGATTTTTATCATTAAACCATTTTTGTTTTTCGCTTTCCTGCATTTTGAGTCCTCCATCACTTCACCCCATGACAGAACCAGTTGAGGTGGCTCGGGAATCTGTTCAGGATGCCTCCTGGACGCCTCCCTGGGGAGGTGTTCCTGGCACGTCCCACTGGGAGGAGGCCCTGGGGGAAAACCCAGGACACGCTGGAGGGACTATTGCCGCTTTTCCACAGAAACGGTACGGTACGGCGCGGCCGGGTACGGGAGCTTTTCCATTAAAATTAGTACCTCTTCAGCGTGGGAGGGATTGTCAGACCACGTCATTTACGTGCAACGTGTAACCAGTAACATTGGTGCGGTGCATGGATTTATTATAATATCGATGATAGCTGGATCCTCCTAGGGGACTCTTCCTACCCTCTGCAGAACTGGCCCCTAAAACCTTTTCAGGAAACCGGGCAAGTGACAGATGAACAGCAAGTATTTAATAGAAAATTCACCACAGCGCAGTGGTTGTTGAAAAAGCTTTCGGAAGTCTTAAAGGAATGACTCGGACACTGAACAGGTGAAGTCAATGGTGCTGACCTGCTGTGCTCTGCACAATCTGTGTGAGGGACCATGTGACAGAATGGGACCCACCTGTAACAACAGCAGCTTGTGGTAGCAGCGGTGCAGAGGAGTGGATTTACTGACAAATATAATGTATGTAAAAGCATGTGGTAGGAAATCGTGACTTTTGGTTTTGAACCCCTTTTCTGCATGTATACAGACAAATGAATGAAACATTGTCCTGATACAATCACAGATTTATTAAAAACAAAAGCAAAGTGAAAAACCAACAGTTTACAAAGTCCAAAGTATAATTGTAAGTAGGATAATTTGTGCACGAAAAAAAATGGACGATGTTGAAACGGGACTGATGTCCCATAGAAAATGGGAAATGAGAGAATGGATAAGTGGATGAAGGCCTCAGGGACTTGTGTGTGTTTGGTCTCTGTTTTTTATTTTGGTTTGTTTTTCTTATTTTTTGTTGTTGTTTATTTTAGTTATATATTTTGTTTTTTTTGTCTTGCCTGTTAGTTATGCATCTGTCGACGGGCTTGTGTATTTTGTTTTGAGGTTGCCTGGTGGGTGGGATTTGTCATTGCGTTATGTTGTGTTGTGTGTCTTGTGTGTACATGTCTGGTGAGTGTCTGAAATAATAATAAAAAAAAAAAAAAAGTCCAAAGTACGTATGTCTGAAACCAGGTCCAGATGAGGAGAAATTTACAGTAAGTGCTCCGGTCACTCATTGCTCGTTGGTAATTTCCTCACTTGTGGGAAGGGATTCTCAAACAAATAAATATACACATGACAACTTAAGTACAAGCACATAACAGAATGGCAACATGTGAAAGAGCTAAATACAGTACAGTAGAACAGGAAGGGCGTTTTAGCTTATGAGCTCGCTATCAATAGCTAAATGTAGCTAGCTCACTGTGTACAACAGACAATCAAACTTATACAGGGTAAATACATTTCAGTGAGTGCTTTGGGCCAATGGGATACGTAGCTAGCCAATTATTTCCAGGATTACCACAGACTATAGTCACAAATCAAGAGCTGGCGATCTCCCTGAAAACCTTGTTCCGTGTGCTGTGTTCCGTCGAGCTGCCTTTGAATTATTTCTTCGGCCTAAAGAGAGTAACGTGTGGACCTCGTCAACCGACCAGGGCTTTTTGGGGCTTTTCTATTTCCCTGGAGTGAGTATTATAGCCTAAAATAGTTCCATGGCAGAGCAGCCGGTTTTAAAGAAGGCGGGGTTGATTTGCTTCCAGAACCTTGGAGCAGCAAGCCATCTGAACCATGAGGACCGAGCCTTCTGAAGCCTTAGGACCGAACCCTCTGAACCATGAAGACCAAGCCTTCTGAACCATGAAGACCGAGCCTTCTGAACCATGAGGACCGAGCCTTCTGAAGCCTTAGGACTGAACCCTCTGAACCAGGAAGACCGAGCCTTCTGAACCATGAGGGCCGAGCCTTCTGAAACATGAAGACCGAGCCTTATGAACCCTGAGGGCCAAGCCTTCTGAAACATGAAGACCGAGCCTTCTGAACCATGAGGGCCGAGCCTTCTGAACCATGAAGACCGAGCCTTCTGAACCATGAGGGCCGAGCCTTCTGAACCATGAAGACCGAGCCTTCTGAACCATGAAGACCGAGCCCTCTGAAACATGAAGACCGAGCCTTCTGAGCCATGAGGACCGAGCCTTCTGAACCCTATGTACCATGCCTTCTGAACCCTGAGGCTCATTCCCACAGCCCATCAGAAACTCCCACTCACTACAGAATTTTAAATAATTTCTCAAAACCCACCTGTTTCAGCTTGACTTTCCATAATTCTGTTCTTCAATGTGTGTTTTGTGAAACGTCCAAAAAGCGCAATATGAGTGTCATGTATCACTATTATTATTCTTACTCACCATGTCCTGTCTTTCTCTCAGGACGGAGGAATGCGCTTCCTTCGCGGTAACGAGCCATATTTCCGCCCGTGTGGCTGGCGGCGTGTGGCCCTGAACGTGTCGAGAAAATACGACAGCGGCAGCGACGTGTGGCTGAGCACCGGAGCTGAGGCCTGGCCCGTATCATACCAGGGACGCCATATGGACGGGGCGCTAATCCTGACGAGCAGGAAGGGTAAGAGGCATCGGCAAGCCCCCGCTGGAAGATCTCAGCTCCTGTGGACTCACCACCCGCAGAGGATCAGTGAGGGGCTGGTGCTATGAGATTTGGGTGGCATCTCTGATTGCCACCCCCCTGACCCAGAAATGAATTAAAGGGTAGAAAATGGATGGATGGATGGACTTCATTATAATGTGATTCTCTCTGGTCTCGTTCTTTGGTCTCAGTCCTGTCTCTCTCTCGCTCTAGTCATTCTCTGGTCTCTCCCTCTGGCCTCTTTTTGGTCTCTCCCTGGTCTCTCCCTGGTCTCCTGTTGGTCTTTCTCTGGTCTCTCCCTGGTCTCTCCCTGGTCTCCTGTTGGTCTTTCTCTGGTCTCTCTCTGATCTCTCTCTGATCTCTCTCTGATCTCTTTCTAGTCTCTCTCTGCTCTCTCTCTCTGGTCTCCCTCTCTGTGATCTCTCTCTGTTCTTCCCCGTGGTGCAAACAGACACAGGTTTAAATAACATTCTGACCTTTCCTCTTGGTGTCTGTACAGTTGGTAGCCAGGAGGGTGGGCTTCTGGATGAAGCCGCACAGGCCCTGCTCCAACACTCGCCTCTGGGTCGTGGCATCTACTCCAGTCCAGATGTGCGTCTGGCAGAGAAACAGAGCGACGGGAAAACCTACAAAGTCCTGCTCCAGAACCGGATAAACCCGGAGCACCGGCGGGACTGCGAGCGGGAGGGTGTGTGGGTGGTCTACGTGCCCCAGAACTACAACGATCTCCAGACCCGAGTCCTGGTCCAAGAGTCTGTGCGAGCCTACGGCCTGCTGCTGAAACAGGCCTGAGCTCCAGCAGAGAACAGGAACCTCAGGGATAATGATGGCTGTTTTATTCACCCAACCACCCAGAGCTGTCAATTTGATGGCTTTTAGTTTTGGAAGCCTGAAGACTGAGGGATTTTATATTTTTATCTTTCTTTTAAATTTTCTGTGATTATTCATGATTTTAATGCTTTCTTATTTTGTTCAGCACTTTGAATTGCCTTGTGTATGAATTGTGCTATATAAATAAACTTGCCTTGCCATTACTCAGCTCATTCACATTTGTGGTCTTCATAAAATTTTTCAGATTCCATTCTGATTTTATGAATATTTTTGTAATGTATGTAGTACCTTTAACTTCCAGAGCAATGAAAATGTAGCCATTGAGAACATTTAGAATCTAGCCAATTTTGGTCGTTTGGTAACCTACATGAATTCTATGGCAGTTAAAGCCTCTTTTCTCCATGGTGCTGGTTCTATAGTAGCCTGGCCTAGCCCGTAAACCGTCAATTCTTATTCCCCTTCATTTACTGTCTGGGTCTTGTCCCAGTGTCTGCAATTACATCGCTTGAATTCCATCCGACCAATCAGTGAGAGCGGGAGGCGAGTGTTGTAGGTAGCTGTTGGTGACGCCAAGAATTTGCGCCGAATTGGCAGGTTGTAGTTTGGCAATGACGAAGAATGGGATAGTAAAGTAATCTGTTCTGGTTCTATCAAGAAATTGAAGCTGGAGCAAGAGGACTGTTTAGCAAATGTAATTGCTGGCAAAGATTGTGGCGCTACTCCCCAAGGGCTCCGTTAGCTGTAAAGGAGATGGCTATGCTAAATGCTAGCGACGCATTACATACAGTGATGCGTCCCTTGAACCTTTCAACATTTCGCCACATTGCAGGCTTCAAACATAAAGATATAACATTTACATTTTTTGTCATGAATCAACAACAAGTGGGACACAATCAAGAAGTGGAACGAAATTTATTGGATAATTTAAACTTTTTTAACAAATAAAAAACTGAAAAGTGGGGCGTGCAATATTATTCGGCCCCTTTACTTTCAGTGCAGCAAACTCACTCCAGACGTTCAGTGAGGATCTTTGAATGATCCAATGTTGTCCTAAATGACTGATGATGATAAATAGAATGCACCTGTGTGTAATCAAGTCTCCGTATAAATGCACCTGCTCTTTGATAGTCTCAGGGTTCTGTTTAAAGCGCAGAGAGAACCATGAAGACAAAGGAACACACCAGGCAGGTCCGAGATACTGTTGTGGAGAAGTTTAAAGCCGGATTTGGATACAAAAAGATTTCCCAAGCTTTAAACATCTCAAGGAGCACTGTGCAAGCAATTATATTGAAATGGAAGGAGTATCAGACCACTGCAAATCTACCAAGACCCGGCTGTCCCTCCAAACTTTCATCTCAAACAAGGAGAAGACTGATCAGAGATGCAGCCAAGAGGCCCATGATCACTCTGGATGAACTGCAGATAACTACAGCTGAGGTGGGAGAGTCTGTCCATAGGACAACAATCAGTCGTGCACTGCACAAATCTGGCCTTTATGGAAGAGTGGCAAGAAGAAAGCCATTTCTCAAAGATATCCATAAAAAGTCTCGTTTAAAGTTTGCCACAAGCCACCTGGGAGACACACCAAACATGTGGAAGAAGGTGCACTGGTCAGATGAAACCAAAATCGAACTTTTTGGCCACAATGCAAAACGATATGTTTGGCGTAAAAGCAACACAGCTCATCACCCTGAACACACCATCCCCACTGTCAAACATGGTGGTGGCAGCATCATGGTTTGGGCCTGCTTTTCTTCAGCAGGGGCAGGGAAGATGGTTAAAATTGATGGGAAGATGGATGGAGCCAAATACAGGACCATTCTGGAAGAAAACCTGTGAGTCTGCAAAAGACCTGAGATTGGGACGGAGATTTATCTTCCAATAGAACAATGATCCAAAACATAAAGCCAAATCTACAATGGAATGGTTCACAAATAGACGTATCCAGGTGTTAGAATGGCCAAGTCAAAGTCCAGACCTGAATCCAATCGAGAATCTGTGGAAAGAGCTGAAGACTGCTGTTCACAAACGCTCTCCATCCAACCTCACTGAGCTCGAGCTGTTTTGCAAGGCAGAATGGACAAGAATTCCAGTCTCTCGATGTGCAAAACTGATAGAGACTTACCCCAAGCGACTTGCAGCTGTAATTACAGCAAAAGGTGGCGCTACAAAGTATTAGCGCAAGGGGGCCGAATAATATTGCACGCCCCACTTCTCAGTTTTTTATTTGTTAAAAAAGTTTAAATTATCCAATAAATTTAGTTCCACTTCACGATTGTGTCCCACTTGTTGTTGATTCTTGACAAAAAAAATTTTTTTTTATATCTTAGCCTGAAATGTGGCGAAATGTTGAGTTCAAGGGGGCCAAATACTTTTGCAAGGCACTGTACATTACGACAAACTCAGATCCAATCGTTTCAATCTAAAAAAGAAGTTAACCCCTCCCACCTGTTAACGGAGCTCAATGAAGAAAAGCCAGACCTTAGTACGAAATGTAATTTGTACGATGGTGTGGTACGACCAGGCTAGTTCTGAACCGACCCTGGACAGTGCCCCTTACCATAGCAACACACTGTTTACTTGCAGCATTTAGCATCATGTTGTATTTAAAGCTATTAACCAATTTTAACACTCAGTAAATGTTTAAAAAATCCTTTGATTCATTTTAACACTACGAATTATCAAAATTCCATTGATTTGACTGGGAGCCATCAAAATGACTGCTCAGAGAGTTCTAGCAGTGTCATAATGCTACTCTACTCATCTTTACTCTACTCTACTCTCCCTAGTTGTGCCTCCATTAAAGTTTAATATCTGGTATCGTATCCTAGCAACCTACCTACAACAAACCAGTATCACGTGGAAATTCATAGGAAGCCATGGTTACCAATCAGTGTCAGTTAGAACACTTTAGTACCAGCTCGACCTGGATAGAACCTGGATTGTTTATTACCTCAATCACAGCACGGGTTTAAATTAAATTAGATTAAAGGAAAGAGATACGATTTAACTCTATTCAACTTCACTCTACCCTACCCTACCTTACACTTGTCTATTTTATTGTACTCTACTCTACTCTGCTCCACACTTCTCTACTTAACCAATACGAGGTCCTTCTTTAGTCCCTCTTGGTCCTGGTTCTATCCAGGCCGAGCTGGTACGAAAGTGTTCTAACTGACAGTGAGAGGCAAGAGGGCTGCTGTAAACCATGGTTTTCTAGGAATTTCCTCGGATCCTGGTTTGTTCTTGTTGCTGGATACGGTCCCAAATACTAAAGACACAACCAGAGTAGACTAGTGTAGAGTAGAGTAGAATTATTATGGGGCGTAATGTGTGTTTCTTTGATACATTGATGAAATTATGTTTTTGTATCAAGCCTATGATTTAGTCCAGTTAACAATCAACACTTCTGTTTTCAAACAGTTCTTTCTCTTTTTCACAGAAAAAGCCTTTTAACAGCAGTACCACAACCCTTTCTTGAGTGTCACTATTTGACTCTTTGGGCTGAGAGCTGATTGGCCGAGTGAGGGTAGTCCTCTCATTTTCACTTTTCTGTCTGAGAAAGCTGATCTAAAGCGCTTTTAGAGTCAGGAACTAGTGACATGGGTTCTACATATTACCCCAGCTTTAATTTGAGTCTAACCATTTATTCTTTCAGATAAGCCGTAACTAGGGCTGCACGATATATCGAAAAAATATCGTTATCGCAATATCGGTGCGTGCGATATCCATATCAAAAATATCTGCAATAAAATAAAAAATACAAACATTTTTTTTTCTTTTCAAAAAAGTATATAAAAACAGTACAGACCAAAAGTTTGGACACACCTTCTCATTCAAAGAGTTTATTTTCATGATTTCGAAAATTCACACTGAAGGCATCAAAACTATGAATTAACTTATGTGGAATTATGTAAGTACTAAAAAAGTATGAACCAAGTGAAAATGGGTCTTATATTCTGGGTTCTTCAAAGTAGCACCTTTTGCTATGATTACTGGTTCACTCTTAGCATTCTCTTTATGAGCTTCAAGAGGAAATGACCTGAAATGGTCTTCAACAGTCTTGAAGGAGTTCCCAGAGATGCTTAGCACTTGTTGGCCCCTTCACTCTGTGGTCCAGCCCCAAAACCATCTGGATTGGGTTCAGGTCCGGTGACTGTGGAGGGCATCTGGCCCAGGACAATCACTCTCCTTATTGGTCAAATAGCCCTTACACAGCCTGGTGTGGATCTACAGTCAATAGGCATGAAAAGAAACTGATTGAATGAGAAAGTATGTCCAAACTTTTGGTCTGTACTGTACATGTATTTGAATGTCATTAATGTTGTGCTTAGTTTTTGTTATTTATCTCCTGCGTTTCAATGAAGATTGCAATTTTAGGTGAAAGACAAAAATATTGCAATAATATCGTTATCGCAATACTAAACACTCATATCGAATATCGCACTCATTTCCAATATCGTGCAGCCCTAGCCGTAACTATGCGTACGCAGTGGCACACGACTGTGGCACAGAGCAGGGCACAGGTACCAGGCAGAGACCGGGACTCCAGCAGGACTTTGGGACCTCCAGGCCTGGGACCGGACCGGATCCTGGCTCTGCAACACACAACACCCAAAAATATACAACATGAGAGGACTGTGGCGTGGGAGGTTGGGGAGATAATAGCAGCCATAGTGTGAGCAGGAAATGAAAGGGGCTGTAATCTCTCCACAGAACGTCTGCAGTCAGAACTCTGGAACGCTCAATGGGAAACCAGCATGAAGGTCTGGTCATCTGCTCAAAGGAAGGACATGGTGGACTACAAAAGTAATAGTAGTGGTAGGTATAGTAATAGTTAATTGTAGGGTAATGTGTTCCCTGCATTTGACCCATTCTGTGGGTGCAGTAGTAACCATCTCCAGATGTTGATAGTCTTCAGGAACAGAGCCGGATTTGATCTATTGTACATGTTTTTAGCGGGAAACTGGACCACCTATAGAAAAACTATGCAGACATGGGGAACAGGTAAACTCCAATCAGAAAGGCCCTGTTCCAAGTAGGATTTGAACCAGGGACCTTTTTGCTGAGAAGCAAGAGTACATTAGTTACAGTAATAGTATTTGTTGCAGTAGCATCAGCGGTTGTAGTAGTAGCAGCAGGATTAATATTATATACTATTGCTGTTAATATTAATATATAGATGAATAGATAACTATTAACTAAAAGTAACAGCAATAATACCAGCGGCAGTATTGGTAACATCAGCGGTAATAGCAGCAGCAGTAGTATCAGTAATATCAATAGTATCAGTATCAGCACTATCAGTAGCTTCAGTAGTATAAGGAGAATCAGTAGCAGCAGTTGCATCAGTAACATCAATAGTGTCATTCGTTTTTTTCACATAAATGATATAGTTTGTCCAATAGAAGGGGTCTAAAAGCTCAGACATATGGCCTCTTTTGTTTCCTCACGATAGGACTCTTGTAACAGCCTGCTTACATTTCTTAGTAAAAAAGATCTGGCCCGTTTTCAAGTAGTTCAAAGTTCTGCTGCGAGGCTTTTCACCCACAGGAGAGCCCATATCTCTCCTATCTTGAAGTCCTTAGTACTTTGTGTAGGTTATTATCTCAACAGGCCAAATCATATGGCCCTGACCTGTGGAGTACCACAGGGGTCGATCCTGGGACCTCTTCTGTTCAATCTCTACATGCTGCCGTTAGGACACTTTGTTTCTGCGTATTAACTGACCTATCACAACTATGCAGACGACACTCAGATCTATGTCTCACTGACTGCAGGAGAACATGGACCAGTGGACTCACTCCTTCACTGTATCCAACAGATCAGTGAGTGGATGCAAAACAACTTATTTCAGCTAAACACAGACAAAACTGAAATGATTGTTTTTGGTCCCCAGAAACAAAGAGAGAGCGTCATCTGTCATCTACAGTCTCTTGACCTAAAACCTTCAAACAAGGTCAGAAATCTAGGGGTAATACTGGACTCAAACTTAAATCTTAATAGCCACATCAAATCAGTAACATTAGCAGCTTTTTACCATCTAAAAAACATTGCCAGGATTAGAAACATAGTGTCTAAAGCAGACTTGGAGATTCTTATCCATGCATTTGTCTCCAGTAGGTTAGACTACTGCAATGGCCTGCTCACAGTTCTGTCCAAACAGGCTGTAAAACAGCTGCAGTACATTCAAAATGCAGCAGCTCGAGTCCTGACTAGAACCAGGAAGTACGACCATATTAGTCCGGTCCTCAGGTCTCTGCACTCGCTTCCTGTGGCTCAGAGAATAGACTTTAAAACAGCTTGTGTACAAGCAGAGCTGTGTCTCCATGGCCTCGCACCAAAATATATTAGTGACATGTTAGTATCATATGAACCAGCCCGGACTCTGAGGAGCACAGGGATTGGACTCCTGTTAGTGTCCAGAGTCAGAACTAAACATGGGGAGGCTGCATTTCAGATTCATGCTGCTAAAATCTGGAACAATCTTCCAGAAAATGTAAGACAGGCCTCCTCTCAGACAATGTTTAAAACCAGTTTAAAAACTGTTCTGTTTAGCTAAGCATACAACTGAGGGATTGTCTATTTTCATCTCTCTTTTTAATGTACTGTGATAATTTATTATTTTAACACTATCTTGTTTTGCACTTTGAGTTGCCTTGTGTATGAATTGTGCTATACAAATAAACGTGCCTTGCCTTGCCTTACACTGGCTCCCTGTCTCACACAGGATACATTTTAAAATTCTGGTGCAAGGGCCTGATCCACCCCTATGTCTCCAACAGGTCCTCCACTCAGAGTCTGATGATGGTCTCCCGCACTCGTATTGAAACCAGAGGAGACACATCCTTCCAGGCAGTGGCTCCTCACTTTTGGAAAAAGCTTCCCCAGTCTCTGCGCATGTTAGAGTGTGTTGATTATTTAAAGTCCAAACTTTGTTTAGACAGGATTTCTTGCCTCATTGTACATAGGCCTCTGTGAACTGTGCTCATGATCATGACCATCTTCTGTATTTTCGTTTTTAAATCTGACGTGTATGTGTTTTATTTGTATCTGTATGTTGTAGATGTGAAGCGCTTTGTGATCCTGGTCTGTGAAAGGCGCTATACAAATAAACTTTACTGACTTTCTTACTTAAAATTATAATGTTGTGAAAAAATCAGACCACAACATGCTGTCTTCTATTAGAAAACATGTTTTCTTTTGTGTAAGAAACAGCCCTGTGAGTCACTATTCGACTCTTTAGGCTGAGGGCGGATTGACTCTTTGTAACTTTTCTGAATGAAGATTTTAAAGAGGCCAAAAATACATTCATGTGAAAACAAGTGATAGAAGTAAACTGAGACCGAGAGAGGGACCAAAGAGAGAGAGACTAGAGAAAGAGACCAGAGAGAGAGACCAGAGAGAGAGAGACTAGAGTAAGAGACTAAAGACATTGAGGGCGGTCTGTTTCACTTTTCTGTTTGAAAAAGCTGATCTAAAGAAGGCCAAACATGTGAAAACAAGTGATTTGGTCGTAAAGTTACAAACGCAGCTTTAAAGAGAACAAAATTCAAAGAAAACAATTAAATATTTTGTTTGTCATTTCTGTTATTTTATATATATTATTTACCACATAAAGCGACAGACTTCATGTTTATTTATTATGGCTTGAATTACAAAAATGCTCTCATATTTACATTAATGGAGATGTTTTCTGTTTTCTGCTTAACAAAAATATTAAATGTAATGATAAATCACTCACATATCAAAAGGAGGGTCCAGATATTAATATATACAGTATGGTCCAGATCTGCAGATGCATGCTGCTCTGCTTCATCCTCTCTTCTGAGGGAAGGAAAGTTTCAGTTTATTGCTTCAAAATGAGGCGTTTAGTGACAAAAAGAAAAAGGAAAGCTGTTTTCCCCCTACAGAGTCGTATAAGGCAGAAGAGAGAGAAAATCCTGTTGAGTTATGCCTCAATGTTGCAGTTAACGTTGCATTCGGATGAAAAGAGGGAACAATGGAGATGAGCCATCTTCAGCCTTATGGCGTATTTATTCATTCACTGCAGACACATCAGTCTCGCGGTCATACAGCTACTAAAGCTAAATTGAACTACGGCAAGATCACTAGAACATGACGCGACGCGTCAACCTGCACCTCAGCGCCTCCTTGTGGCATAACAAGCATATAACATAACATTCACATATACAACTGAGGACAAAATGAACATACTGTGAGATTTCATAACACTTTGAAGCAACTTTTGTTAAAGTTAAACTCATCATTCTATCAATGTGCAGAAGCCAGTACTTTTCCCTTGTTTTGTCTATCTGAAGGCCAAGCTACAAGCACACCGTGGCAGCTGCTGATTGGAGGTCTCCATGCCTCCGCTCTGTATAATACACTTGCATTCTCTTGTATCTGTGATCGTGTGCTTTGTTCGTGCTGTCTCTACCATTGACAATAAAACATGTCTTCTGTCGGAATGTATGACACGATCCCAGACTTGGCACATCCTCTTCAATACCTTTACACATCCTGTCCCAGAAGAGAAACGCATACTATATACTTAGATTTTCAGAAATATGTAGTTTTATTATATACATTTAACCCAGCGTGAACGGCCAGAGAGGGAGACCAGAAAGAGACAATGAAATCCTGTGTAGGTCCTGTTCTTGGTCAGTACAAAACCTTTCTCAGTGGAGTTGGGACGTTCTCCCAGTGTCTGGGTATGTTTCCCCCGGGTGCTCGAGTTACAACAATGACATTTCTGCGCAGAAAGAGCAGACAGAAACGGCGTCCAATGATGCCGGTCTCTCTGGCCCACTCTCACAAGCTGTTGATACTTTATACTGGCGGTTTTGTCAGACGAACAATGAGCATTCGTCCCACAAGATAGAAGAGTCATACGCAGCTGCAACGAAAGTTTGGGAGAGATACATTAAGCGGCATGAAAAGACCTTCGAGATGATCGAAGCACAACGCGTGAGCAATTGAGATACGCACCTCAATGTGCCAAGGCCTATCACTGAACAAGAGAGCCTTTGTGCGAATGTACCAACAAGTGCCTGGGAACGCAGTTTCTAACGCTGGGAACCAAGACACATGTATCGAACCAATGATTAGAAATGTCCCGATCGGAACAGACCATACCAAGGGGTAGTGGCAACACAAGAATACAAAAAGTATGGGCAACCACTGGTTTAGAGAACATAGAGACAGAGACAAACGCACTTTGAGGCCAAACCACCAACAAAGGTAGATAAATTAGCAGAAACTAAATAGTCTTATTAGCATTATGGTTGGCCATTAAGCATTCATAGAGGCAACAGTTTGTTAATAGTAGCCTGGCAGCTAACTTAAGATGCAGTTTCAGAGTTTCAACATTAACAGCTAGTACCTACACTTCTTAACTTTAAAAAAACACATAAAGACATTTTGAGGACGTACCCGAGTGAAAATGCAGAGAACACACTCTCATCGTCTGGGGGTGAGATCGCAAGTAAGGTCCTTTCTTGTTATTGCAGCCAACCCAAGCCATCCGGCGTCAGCAGGTCGTCAGGTCAGACACTTGCGCTCCCCTGATGTTGTACCATTTTGGTAGCCTAAACAATTTGTAAACCTTGGTTTGTCCACGTTTCCTTTCTTATAGTGTGAGGTAACTGAGCAGTTTTTAACACGCAATGAAGCCTCCAGGCTGGTAAAACAGAAATAGCGACGACCGCCTTTGCTACCGAGTTAACACAACAAGTGGTTTGCCGCTGGGATCCTACAAACATGTGGAGACGGGAGGGGCTCATCGTGTTGCGGTGCGGCGCTGTGAGCTGGTGCTTTTCACATGTGCCCGAGTCGTGATGAAAACACAGGGTGAGTTAGCGACAAAGTTTACACCGTTTACATTTGACATAAAGTATAGACACACGCACTGCAGCGCATTACTGTCTGTAGTTTATGAGCAGAGATGGAGCAACTCTGTTTTGCTCCCATTGAAAACCATATAAATCTTGTCTGTTTTGTAGTCAAAAGGCTCTCCTCCTGTGGGTGTACAGGAGATATATACATATATATATATATATATATATATATATATATATAGATATATATATATATATATATATATATATATATATATATATATATATATAGCTCGTAGTGTAAAAAAAAATATGTATTTATCTCACGAAAAAAGTAAAATGATGAACTGAACTTTGAACTAGTTCAGAATTAAAAACTTTGAGCATGTATGAACTGAACTTGAACTAGTTCAGAAAAGCTGTGAACTGGCACAACACTGGCCCAGAGTCAAGGTCCTGCCCGCGCTGGTCGCGTTATCGCTGCGCTATAGTCAAAGTGGCTGTTTGATGCTTCCCCATTCCGCTCCTGCTGCTGATCCACATGCAAAACATTTTATGACAGCTGTCAATAAGTCATTTTTCCAGGGGTCAGAATCTTAGGTCAGAACGCTGCGGTTGTTGTTTGCAGTATGCAACGGAGGATATGGGATTCCACATCCTCCGTTACATACAGCAAAAAACAGCCCCCCTCATAGGCACGCCCCACTATTTGAGAAGTACTGCTATAGTCCATTACAATGGGTTACTCTGTTATTGTTGGTCTCTCCTGGTCTCTCTCTGGTCTTTCTGATATTTCTCTCTGTTCTGTCTGGCCTCTCTGTTCTCTTTCTGGTTTCTAGCTGGTGCCACTCACGTTGCAGGCTTCGCTGTTGTCCTGTCGGTTGGGCAGGATGAAGGAGAATAGCTCCAGGTGGTCCTCACAGTCCTCCACAGTGGTGTTGTAGTCCACACAGCTGGAGACCACCGCGAACATGTGACTGGGGATGGGAGGAGCTCCTGCCGATGATCTGAGGAACAGCAGAACCAGCAGTGAGAGATGCTCAGACTGCCCTCTCCACACACTCTGGTCCTTCCCCAAAGCTTCTGACTCAGAACTCTTCTTGCAGACACTGCTCCCTCACAACCATAACAGTCCCATACGACAACCACTACTGACTGGACATCAATCTAAGCTCCATTAAGAGCTTTGACTAACAGACTGGAGTTTTTCCAAGATGGCATTGAGGCAAGAGCTCTGGTGTGATCTACTTAATGTTGTTTTTATTCATATGTGAGGACTTTGAGCTGTCTGTTCTGGAGATTTTTCATGAATCCATACATATGAAAATATTTATATTAACTGCACCTGACAGACCACAATACTGTGTAACACTAACAACAATAATATTGTCCTTTGTAGATATAGATATGGAACATGTGATGGTGTTGCAGTACATAAACACGCAAAGCCTAAATAAATAAACGTTAGTATACATAAAAAATGATTTGTAACAAGGGTTTTTTGAAGAAAAGTGTCATTGAAATAAGTTATCATTTTAATAAGTAACATGTGGCTTAAATATATTGTCTGTATTGTAATTCACTTTAGCTCCAGGAAGACTCCAGGAAGTCTGGCGGGCTCGTATGTTAAACATCAGGAGGAAGCAGGCTTTGTATGTACGCTAATACGGAGTGTCTTTTGTTGTGTTGGTACTTCCTTTCCTATCTGCATATGAAGGTGTGTCTTCTAGTATGAAAGGAGCTTCAGATCTGGTCTGAGAGAGACCGGGCTCTGTGCCCTATCTCTGCAAAGACTTTTTCTCCTTTTACTGGGTAACAAGTTAAAGATTAACTAAGTCTGTTTGTTGTGTTAAATTTTGTCAGGTTCAACTGTGGTTAAATATCAGCATTAACAAAAAGTTTCAGATATTACTTTACCACATCACTAGCCTGGTCTTACCACACCATCGTACGCATTTCATTCCGTACTTAGGTCTGGATTTGCTCAATTGAGTGGGAGGGGTTAACTCCTTTTGCAGATTGAAACTAGCCTGGCCTTAGCCATCCGTACACTCCGGTCAATAATCATTTCCCTGCATCCAACGTCTGGGTCTGGTCCCTGTGTTTGCGATTACATCGGTAGAATTCCATCCGACCAATCAGCGAGTGTGGGAGTTGGGTGTTGTAGTTAGTTGTGGGTGACGTCAAGAGTTTGCGCCGAACGGCTGGTTGTAGTTTGGCAATGGCGAAGAATGCGATTATTCCGGTCTGGTTCTATCAAGAAATTGAAGCCAGAGCAAGAGGAATGTACTACAACCAGCAAATTCGGCGCAAATTCTTGCTGTCACAAACACCCATCTACTCTGGTCGAATAGCCGAATGGCCGAATGGCCGAAGGGGATTCTACCGAGGTAAAATCAGACCCAGACGTAGGTTTAAGAAATTATAAGGCAATTATAAGATCAGGCTACCACGTCACCTAAAAGTTCAAAACTCATCAAATGAATATAGAATAATCTTAAATGGATATATTACGATCCATTCATTAGATATTCCTTATCAACCATTAGCTAGCTTACAGTTGGTCTATATTAGTTTAACAGAACAATAAACTAATATGAATATATATCTTGGTAACAGAGAGACAGTACCCTTTGCAACGACGGGACTTAGCTTCGAGAGATTCCAACTTTTGTGAAGAGAAAACAAATGTCAGTCAAAAACCTGACAGAATAAAAATATATATATATATATATGATTCCTTTGGACAGATTACATTTATCATTTCCATTATTAACTGACGAACAAGCAGCTGTTGAGTTAGCCCATGCTGGAAACACATACGACCAGCAGACCTTTTGTTCTATATAACACCAGGATTTCTGTATCTGGAGAGGACTAGGACCTCTGTATCTGGACAGGACGGGACCTATGCATCTGGACAGGACAGGACTTCTCTATCTGGACAGGACAGGTCCTCTCTATCTGGAGAGGACCACTTTCTGGTTGAGAACCAGAGCAGGTACAGGCCTTACTCTGCGATCTGCTCGGCTGAGTCTCGGAGTCCGTCCGAGTCGTGATCAAACACCGGTCCGACCAGAATGTTCACCCCGTTCCTCTCTTCTGCATATCGCCTGAACAGCACCCTCTGGAGGTAACTCCACACACCTGCAGAAAAACACAATCAGCTGGGCATCCAAGTTACAGCCACAAGCAGCGTTGAACAACAATAGGGCTGTTGGTAAAGTCCAGGCTCACGTTTGAAAGCAGGAAACATGGGGACAGTGTTGGTTATGAGCGACGCCTCCAGCCGGGACTCTGCACACGTCGACAGATCTGCAACACATTTGACCCACGAGACAAACTCACATTACTGTCACACATTGTGAACATCTCAGCTCCAGTTCTCTGGTCTCTCTCTGCTCTCTACTGTAGCCTCTCTCTGGTATCACTCTATTCTCTCTCTGGTTGCTCTCGTGTCTCCAGTATCTTTCTGGTTGCTCTCCGGTCTATTGTCTTCTTCAAGTCCTTCTCTGGTCTCTAGTCTCTCATTGGTGTCTGGTCTCTCTCGTCTTTGGTTTTTCTCTTTTCTCTTTCTGGTGGCTGGTCTTGCCCTGGTCTCTGCCACTTTCTGGTCTTTAGTCTCTTCTGGTCCTTCCCTGGTCTCTCTCTGGTTTCTGGTCTCACGCTGGTCTCTGGTCTTTCTCCAGTCAATGGTTTTTTTCTGGTCTCTTGTCTCTCTCTGGTTGCTGGTCTCTCTCTAGTCTCTTGCTGGTGGGTCACCTGGTGGGAAGAGGAAGCCGTAGCTCAGATGTTCTTGTTGCTGGTAAACGCTGCAGCTCTGGCTGTGAGCTGGAGACACTCTCTGATCAGCTCTGAGGCAGCTCTGTGTAGAGGCCAGCTCCAAGTCCAGCAGCGTACCCTACAAACACACACACACAGTAGTTTATTGTACAATTAATTATCCAACTCTGACACGTCCCTTTTTGCCATAGAGAACAATCTCAAATTATTGATTTAAACATAATTTAAAGATAAAAAACAATCTTCTCTATGTTTATAAAATATGTCCAGATTCTATTAATTGCATGAAAGTCATTGACCCAATCATCAAGTGAAGCTACAATATGATCTGTCTGTTCTAAGTTTTAAAACTGGTCTCTTTCCAGTTCTGGTCTATGATCCACCTGGGCTGAAGTAGGAGGTCTGGTCTGGTCTAGAACCAGTCTTCTTACCTTGGCTGGTCTGGTTGAGGCTATGGTCTAAATCAGGTCTTTGTAGGCCTCTGTGTAGACATACAGGGGAACTCTGGTCTGGTCTTTGGTCTAAAGCCAGTCTCTCACCTGGGCTGGGAGGGTGTAGGAGGCCCACAGCGGGAGGCTCAGGTCTTTGCTGAAGCCGCTGATGAAGTCCACATGATGCAGCAGAGAGTAGTGAGTGTGGAAGAGCACCGCGGGACGTCCGAACGGGAGCTGGGACATGTCTGAAGAGACAGCACAGTGTGGGAACCAGGTCTCTACAGAGCAGGACCAGGCCTTTACAGACAAGGACCAGGTCTAAGTCAGAGCAGAAACACAAGGTAATGCTTGTCCCGTGTGTAAATGACTTACTGTAGGAGAAGACTTCGTCTGTCGGGCTGAACGGGACGAGGATCTCCTCCACTTTGTTCTGAGAAGAAACACAAGCACCAGGATTAGAGAGTGAGCAGGAGTAAGGGCACGGCCACATACGTTTTTACAAACAAACTAGGCCAAGTGGCCCGGATTGTTGCCACAGGGGTGTGCTGAAGTACAACTGTGCTGCAGTACCATGCTCGGTCCAGCTGGTGGCGCTAAAGGTGCGTTCAGACCAAACGCGTTTTCTGCGGCCAAATCGCATCTGACGCGCGTCTTGGGATGCTTGTGATAAATTGTGGCAGACGCTGTCACAGAGCATCTTGGAGGCGCGTCACACGCGTCCAGGACACTAGAGGGCAGCGCTCTGGAGGCGCGTCAAGGAAGAGCGTTTTGTGGCAGGCCTGTTCTGTTGCCAACACAACTTGGAGAGGGAAGGACACGGGAGCCAGGATTAAGGTAAAAAGTGTAAAATACGCTTTAATTAGGACATAAAGGTTACTTCTTATAACATTTGAGGCGAGAAATACCCCCCTCTATTGTCATATCGGAGGTCTGTTTGGTGATCAAATAGAACATTGTCGGACTTTTCTCCAGTGCAGAGAGCGGGGGTCGGGCAGTGCTCAAGCCGAGAAAGAGCGTCTCAACGCGGGGACACATCAGTGGAGCTCTCACAATCTTAATTCTGAAAATCCGAGGCTTTTGTTACGGACTTTCTCTGTTATAACAATTGTATTGGCAGTAATCATTCGTTTTTACAAAGTCATATTGTATGTAAACAATGCACACATATGCGATAAATGATATATGATTGATTTATTTGCTATGGCCCTCGTTTGTGCATCACTTACATAAATGTAATAACGTGTGTTTCTGATGAGAAAGGAATATCCATGGATCCATAATAATAATAATAATAAGCACATCCATGGATCTGTATTATAACGAACATCAGTAAAAAGGAGTTGAACACAGGAAAGACCTAGAACTGCTCTTTTTGAAGTCTTGAAAAGCAACAGACTGTCACTGATCAGATTAGAGTTGAATGTATTCAATTAGAACTTTAAGTACTGCTGACAAATATGTACCTGTGTAAATAATACCTTATTTTTCATGACTCTTTACACTTCAGACACAAAAAAATAAATTATAATAACAAGTTTTATTTTTTATTTTTTATTTCCAGGCTCTCTATGAAGGTGTCAGAGGCAGACGCCCAGGACTCTGTTGCTCCTGCTGTTGCTCCTGCTGTTGCTCCTGCTGCTGCTGCTCCTCCTGCTGCTCCTCGTCTTCAGAGATGCAGATCCCACTGTTCTAACTATCCAAGACTGATGATTAAATAAAACATGAAAATATGTTTGTTGAAGTTCATATTGTTAATCCGCAGTGAAGCAGGAGGTGATGGAGGTGAAGCTGGAGGTGATGGAGGTGAAGCTGGAGGTGATGGAGGTGAAGCTGGAGCTGATGGAGGTGAAGCTGGAGGTGATGGAAGTGAAGCTGGAGGTGATGGAGGTGAAGCAGGAAGTGATGGAGGTGAAGCTGGAGAAACGATGCCGTGTGATTTTGTTGCTGTCAGAGAAAGTCTGAGTTCCATTTCACCAAAAGTCTCTGAAAAAGAACACAAACATCATGTTAAAACATGGACACCTCAAAATAAAATACAGAAATCCTTCCTGTATTTAATATTAGAGGCACACAGCAGGAGAAACAGACACTGAGGAGTAACAGAAGAATAATATATTGGAAATATACACAAATAAAACTTAGGAGTGTGGCTAACCAATTTAAACCTTTTGGAAGTGAGACTGTCATCTGCAAAATAAACATCTGTATAATGTGCTCTTATTTCATCATTATATTTATCAGACTATTGTATGAAATGTGCTTCATAATAAGCCATATATATACAGTAAATGTTAATAATTATACAGTATTCCCAGTCTTAGTATGGGATTATAAATTATATGCACAATCTATTTTATATGAATACAGATAACAGTGTTTACTACATGTTAGAATACTACAGCTGCTGTCTCCATGGACTGTTTCCTCTGTGTAGCTTTAATATGTAATCTGTGGGTTTGTTTCTCCCTGTGACATTACAGATTTTGTGCAAGGAAGGATTAGCGATTGTGAAAAGTTTAAATAACTTACCAGAGACACCAACCTCCTCACTGACCCTCCTCCATGTCACGGTGGTTATAGTCTGCAGGGCTCATGGGCTAACAGCACAGCTTGTCCTCCATAGCTGTTGTGTTGTCGTCCCCCTCGGTCCTGCCTTGAAATGCGTTACCATGTCACTGTTGGAGGAGGCTCCCGATTGGTAGACGCTCGCGTCTTCTCCTGAAAAGTTCAACATTGTTCAACTCGAGCGTCAGCGCCACGTGCTTCACGCGCATCAAGACGCTCGAAATCTCAAAACGCGCGAAACGCTCAAAGACGCGCTGCTCGGGAGGCGCGTGACGCGCCGCGTGATCTCTTGACGCTCCTAGACGCGCGTCCCCCATGTTATGTCAATGTAAACCCGACGCTTTGGACGCTCAAGACGCGTTTGGTCTGAACGCACCTAAATACTAACTTCAGCGACTACCTCGGGGGTCGAGTTAAGTTTCCGTTTCTCTTCCTGTTCACACTCTGCTACTGTGCAGCAGACTATGGCACCAACCAGCTCAAGCATGGATTGTGTTCTTCTGCTCAAGTTGTTCTTGTTGACTCTTTTTCAGCAACAATTGATGTATTTGCAGTCAATTGAGCGTCAATGTTTACAAGCTAGGGAGAGTAGAGTATGCGGCTGCCAGGAGGAGACATGTGCGAAAGTTCATGTAGATGCAATGGCAGATGAACAGTTTTTTTTTTTTTACTAAAATGACAAACATGTCATCAAAGAGGTAAGCACTATTATCCTATACTGTGGAATAACCAGGCGAGTAGTATTTGAAAATCTAGATGTAGGCCTCGGTAGCAATATTGGCGCTGAAGATGTGACGCTAATGGTTAGTGATGTCGACATTTTGTATACAGAAAGAGGTACAGTAGGTCCCATTTCGTTTTGTCCCGATTCACGCTTCTTTTATTTGTTTTTTTCCCAGTGATGCTGCAATGACCCAAACAACCACCAGGTGGCACTTGTGAGCAGAGAACATTGGCTTCTCACTGCTCATTATTCTCTCTTCACCGGACGATTTGCTGTGGCTTTATAGCTCATTGATAAGGAGATGGACTGTGGTGCCAGAGGATTTAGGTTCAAGTACAGGCTGAGACACTTTTGATTTTGTTAACGTTTACATTTTTTCTAAAACATAGAAGGTCCAATGCCCCAGAAAAAAATAATAATAACCACACACGTTTATTGCAGTAATTTTTGTTAATACTTTTCACGAGGAGTTAGTGGACATGTGTGCCTTTAATATGAGCGGCCTTTGTGGGAATGGTTATATTCAAAGTATTAGAGTAAAATGAGTTTGTAAAACACCTGCGGCGCAGCAACGCGAAGCAGGAGCCGTAGTTCTGAGCGGAGCCAGAGCAGAGCCAGAGGTCTACAGAGATCAGGGAAGTATTTGGTACTGGCTCACTCAGATTCAGAGACACGCAGGTCTCCAGTGAAGCAGATACAGACATTATTAGTGACAGGAGTCCGCACCACAATAGTCCACAGTCACCCACAGTTTACGTCCTCCGTGTGGCCACCGCGGTAAAGAGGTCCGGCTTTTCGGAGTCAGCGGTAAAGCGCTCCGCACATTAAAAGCGGATAGCCTCTTTATGCTGTTAATTACAGCAACATTGTAAAGAGAAGACGTGGGGATGAGCCGCCACAATGCATTGTTTAACATAAAGCGGCCACCCGCTTTGAATGTGCGGACCTCTCTACCGCTGACTCCGAAAAGCCGGACCTCTTTACCGCGGTGTGCGGCCACAGTGGAAACATTCTGCGAACACCAGACAGGAGACGTGGTGAAGGGGACAGGGGGATCATAACACCGGGCATATGGGTGAATGCAGAAGGGTTAAACAACCGCGGGGAACGCAGGAGACGTGGCAGAAGCCACGAAAGAAAACGCACCGCTAATCTGCCTTTACGGACGGAGATGATGATGATGAAGGCAGTTCTTTAGAGAAGATAATCCATAAAAGTGGATCAGAAATGTTGAAGAGCCTGTTGTTTATTGTTGAGACAATCTGACAAGTTCTGAGCCCATTCATTTAATCGCTCTGTTTCTAAACGATGAATTCTGGAGCCTCATTTCCACTGAGATAAACTGTATGCCACCAGGTCTTTTGAAAGGGTAATATTGAAACCAAAGTGCAGATTTCATGACTGGTAAACTATAAGCAGTGCCATCTTGATCATTGAAGGTCTAATACAGTTCCATATGGCCGTGGACCAGTGCTAAAATATTCTATATAAATTTGATCAGTGAATTTATTTCTATCCCACATTGTGTTTTCATACTAAAGATATTTCACGTAGACTGTTGATGGTATTCCCTGATCTCAAAATACACTCTCAAACTACATCTTTTTGAAATCTTTATACAATAATTAACATTTTCCAAAATGGCCACCACCTTGATGACGTCACAATATGCAAATTAGATGACGAATCAACATCCATCCCAAAGTTTGGTTCATACTGAAGATAGTTCTCATTTACAAAATGCCTTTGTCTCAAACTTTAAAGTTATAGCCTTTTGAAATCTTGAAATCAAAATTGTAATTTTTTTTGAAAAAAATGGGCTTAGTGCTGTGTGAAAATCCCTCGTCAAAGGCCTGGGCTCCGCACCGTGCTCCTCTTTGCTGTCATCGTTGCAACATGTTCAGAAGTTCAACTTTTTAGCACTAACCATGTTGTGGGTTTAGTCCACGGTTTTGTCAAGGAGATAATTAGCATACAACACTTACAGTCACACTGCAATCAGACATGGATTCACATTTGTCAGGCTGAATGCTGTGATACAGGAAACACGGCACAGAGATGACCCCTTAGCCAATCAGGACGCAGAACACAATACACTGGTTCTTCCTTAGCCAATCAGGATGAACACACCAAGTTCATATACAGTGAAAATCACGCTTAAAACTAAATCTGCAAGACCTCAAAAAAGAGAACCGCTATTCAGCTGAGGAGACTCCTATTCAGAACACATTATTCCTGTATGGAAGTTTCTGATTTGGTGTTTTTATGTAATTTTTTTACTATCATCATGTTTCAGATTATAGATTAGACAGTGAGCCAGATCAGATGTATCCCAATTAGGGCTGGGATAAACGATTATTTTTTAAACGATTAATCTAGCGATTATTTTTTCAATGCATCGATTAATCTAACGATTATTTTTTTTGCTTCGATTCGATTTCAATTTGATTCAATTCTCGATTATCTCCCCATTAATTGACTAATATTGATGTATACATGTTGATTTAAATATTTTAATGAAAAAAACATGAATTCCTTCACAAAAAATATTTATTGCTTGCTCTTAAAATTCAAAAATAAGACATTCTTAGAGGTAGCATAAAACCTTAAAGCCTTGAAAACACAGCTTACTGAAAAAAGTGCATCTTATCATTCTTGAAACAAACATTTGATGCTTAGCATTCAATAAAAATATGAAAAAGTTCAGCCAAATACTTGTGTAGAGCAACTAAAAGAAAACAGTAACCAATGTAAACTTGAAGGCTTTAAGCTAAACAAAGAGTGCTTTTCCAGCAAAAACAGTGGGAGCCATCAGCCTGTCATGGCGTCCTTCCTGAACCAACAGAGTTTAACATTTAAGTTGAAGACACATAGGCCTATATTACTGTTCAACCTGGAGAGACTACAAGAGACGAGATGCGTTTAAGAGTTGTTTATTTTATGGATTGAGTTTGTTTAACGGTTTGGAGCTTAGGCCCCGGCTGTGGCCGTGCTCTGGAGAGATCTGCGCCTGGGTGCAGATCATGATCCCCCGGGGCCTAGACACCGGTGGTGGCAACAAGGCAAGGTGAATGTGAGAGTGAAGAAATCCTGAGGCGGAGGTGGGGAGGAGGTGGTTGCAGCTTGAAGTCCGTTTGGTGAGCTGTGCTCTGCTTTGCTCTTAAACGCTGGCTTGATTGACACGGCTGCGGGGAGTTGATTAAGACAGGCTGAGTAAGGCGTGGTCAAGCCTGGTGTGATAACGTAGGTAGTCTACCATCCTGAACCTCCGCTTAAGCTCCATCTCATCAGCCTACGTCAGCAGCCGCGGACTGCTATGAAAACATTAGCTTTGTGGTTTCACAGGCGCAGTTGACTGCTTAAACTAAACTTTGCACGAAACTTTGACTCTTAAAACCCACATGTGACAAAACGGAACCATCAACATCTCGCCTCAAATTGCATTAAAAGTGACATTCGTGTCTGAATTCGTTCGTATTTTAACTTTTAAAGAAATTCACGGTCCGCCATCTTGGTTTGCTTCGGCTGCCGTGAGACGCGCGCATGCACAGGTTTGCATTACATGATAAACAGCTGAGGCTGTGCATCTCTTTAAGGCAGTGTATCTCAGCGTTACACCGGCTTGCACTTCTCTAACACGGCACTCGCATTGCTACCTCTCGCCGCCATCTTTGTTTTGTGTGTGACGCACCGACGCGCATATTATACGTTGGTGTATTTTTTGCGTCGACGTCACCGATTGCGTCGACGTCACCGATTACGTCGACGCGTTGTCCCAGCCCTATTTGTGACCCTTGTCTGTGAAAGGCGGTATATAAATAAACATTACTTACTTACTTACTTACTTCTGACCACCACCATCAACCATCGACTGCTGCCCTGTCCACTCTGCACCGACCCACAATGGATCCCTCTGTGGGTGGTGGGTCCACAGGCCCGGCCACCAGATGCTGCTTCTCCACATTGAGAGGAACCAGTCGAGGTGGGGGGGTGACAGGAGCTCAGTTGGTAGAGCACTGGTCTTTGGACCCAATGGTCGGGGGTTCGAGCCCACCGCGACTAATGTCATCTGCTTCCACTGATATCTGATGTTGTTGTGTCCTTGGGCAAGACACTTAACCCCACATTGCCTGAAGCCCCCACTGAAAGCAGTTGTTATGCAAATTTGGCCAAGCCCTAAATGGCTTTGTCCCATTTACAAATATCGTTGACAGTCAGAATGTACTCAGATTAAGATAAAAACCACTTGATTCAACCACC